AAAATTGCGATCGATATCTCGATATTTTCCCGGTTTTTTCGAGATGAGACGAGACAAGAACAAACAAATGACATATAATAATCTCGGAAATATTATTTTAAACGAGATGAAAAGTTCTGAGACGAGGTTCCGAGAATCTCGTATCGAAATGCATCACTATATGCTAATGTCGATGGTACTGTAACTTTCAAGCTTCATAACTCAAGATTTGCTTAATTAAAATACATTTTATCTATGTGTTTTGGAAAGCTCTTCAAATAAGCTACAAGAATACGCAATGAAAAATAGGGAGTTCCATTTAAAAAATTCAAAGTGACCTTGTCCTGACCTTGACGACGCCACTTAGGGTTAAACCAATATTATCATCTTATGTCCCCTTCGAAACCAAACAACTTTTGTCTGAAAAACTTTTCTCTCCCGGACTTGATTTTGAAGATATTCGACTGGATGGATTAAAATGGTCCACCCTATATATATACAGGGTGATTCAGAACAACCCCTCGTCCTTGAAAAGACGTATTCTTGACTCAGTTCTAAGACGATTTTTCCTTTACAAAAATTTTGTCCGAAGCTTAGTTTTTAAATTATAACGAGAAATAGTTAGCAAATTACGGGCCGCGTACGGATGGTAGACAGGGGCGGCGCAACTGACTGTCCGCCGGCAGGCGGTACGCGGGACCGTCGCGACGATCAGCTGACTACACGCGCGCATAAACATGCATTTACATTCTCTCTCTCTCTATGTTTTTCACACACACACACACACACACACGCACACGCACACGCACACGCACGCACGCACGCACGCACGCACGCAATATCTTACCTTTTGAAAGATTTGTCGACTTCTCGAAAAAGATGGATTAATTCCCATGTGATTTCCACGTAATGAGTGTTTATTTTAATAAGTTTTCAATAGTTTTAATGCAAACGTCACAAGTTATCACTAACACAGATCAAATAATTCGATAATTCTTTTTTTTTTACAAACCGCGGTGTCACTTCAATATTTCATACTCAATTCACATACAAATTATGCACTTGAAGAAATTACGAGAAATCTTCTAATGTATTTACTTAATATCCGTACTATTACGTACTTTACAATCACTGACGATTAATTATCCGTCCACTGAAAAATCACACGAAGAAAGAAACACACGGCGATTTAGTAAAATAATTAATCAAATAAATCATTTAAATTATTAAAAATAAATCAAATACTTGTATCGGTTAAAGCCTTAGAATCACATGTTCGCGTTTCGACAGCGCTGCAAACGTAACCAACAAAGTCAGTCGACTGCTTGCTATCGTCGAGTGAACGCCTCGTGTGTCAGTAAATAGTGCGCGTGTTTCTTTCCTCGACTGAGTTTTCAATCGACGAATGATTAATCGACACGGATTAATAATTATTAACTACTTAATACATTCGGTATTAAAGTCAGTCGACTGCTTGCTATCGTCGAGTAAACGGGTCGCGTGTTAATAAATTGCCGTGTGTTTCTTTCTTCGTGTGATTCAGTGGACGGATAATTAATCGTCAGTGATTGTAAAGTACGTAATAGTACGGATATTAAGTAAATACATTAGAAGATTTCTCGTAA